CCCCCCTCCATGTCGGCGCACCCCTCACACGTTTCGTGGCCCCATGGAGTGTTCCACTCAGGGCCCCAGTGGCAGGTTCCGCATGCAGTTCCCTCTCACCTCTTCGCACCACCAGTTGGGGGCGGGCGGGGGGGGGGGGGGGGGGGGGGGGGGGGTTTTGTTTTGTTTAGCGTGGGGGGGGGGGTTTCTGGGTGGGGGGGGGGGGGGGTGGGGGGGGGGGGGTGGGGGGGGGGGGGGTCGCCGGGCCACCAACGGCCCTGGTGGCAGCGCCCGCACGTGGTTCCACCCTGCATTTCCGCGCACCCCTCACACGTTTCGTGGCCTCAAATGGGGCTGCAACGACGGTTCCGGTGGCAGCGTCCGCATGGCGTACCCGTGCCAATTTTGGCACCCCCGTCACACGCGTCGTGGCCCCAGAGGGAGGTTCACCGAGGACGATACCCACACCTGCGTTACACTCAGCTGCACATGGTTGGGTCCTTCGCCGGAATAATTTCCTTCCTCCGTGAATTAAACCTGTGCGCGGCCCGCTTAGCTTCGACCGGAAGAGGCTCGCTCTCGACCAGCGGATGTTGGCGGGCGGCAAGCCTCCGATGTTACTGGACAGGCGCCGATGCTGGCGGCAAGCCTCCGATGCTACTGGATAGGCGCCGAACGCTCGCTACAGCGCCCTGCCGAGAGCTCCGCGACAAGCTCCCCAACTTGAGGTTGGGCACAAAGAAAATTCAGCAGCGCCTCAGGGCATGCGAAGCCACACAAGCGTGTAGAGGGCGTCAATGCGAGGGGGAGAAGACGAGGACGACGAAGGAGGACAAGGGACGAGGAAAGGGAATGGGGAGAAACGAAAACGGCCGCCCCCACCACCATACCGCCAGCGAGGATGCCGGCGAGGCGGCTGGCGAAATGACCATCAGCGCTGTGCGAGGGCCAGACACCTGCCTCTACATTCGCCACAGACCAGCCATGCATTGTAATTGCCATTACTCCAGTCAGCAGACCACAATTCAACGTCGCACACAAATGGCATAGCACACAACAGGCTGCGCTGCCAGGCCTGCTGTCACCGCGTTGATGCGACAGAGGGCCGACGGTTCGTAAGACTCTGAGGGGCGAAGCGCCTGGCAGGCAAACTGTCGTCGCCTGGCGGGACACCAGCACCGCAGACAATCTGCCCGCCAGTCGACAAGAAGGCCGACGCTTGGAGGCCGAGATCAAATCTCCAGCGAAAAAAAATGTTCTAGGGAAGACGGGCCCATATCAGGCGGCAGCCGCATCAAGCGGGAGCCGATTTTGTTACAACTGGGCGCCAAACAACGCATTCTGAGTCTCGAGGATTTCCCTTGTAAGAAACAGAGTGCGAGCCCCAGGGTGAGCACGTCAGTTGAAAAAAACAAAACGGGCACCAGGGATGAGGGATCAACCATAATCAGTGGTTCGACATGAGCATTCAACAACGATCAGTTTGAGACTCTGATCAGCTCGCGTGTCGCTCAACCTGTATATCCCGAGCCCTCGATAACCGCCCTCAACGTCTTAGATCATAACCCCTTGGGGGTATATCTTGGGGGCGTAGCTGGCGCAGCCGTTTAGACAGGGAGGAACAAAAAGACACGACAAGGAGAGAGAAGGAAGACGCACGGCAGAGATGAGGGGGATCAGAGGTAGAAGATCACGCGGCAGAACCAGACCGGCGGGGAGGGTCGGGCGGGCCACGGCGGTCATAACGGCGGGGCCGAACGGGCGGGTCGTTGAAACGTCAGTCCCACATGGATCCCGATGAAGTCTCGAGCGATAGCGCGATTCCAAAGTAAATCGTGAGGAGATCCAAAGCGAGAGCATGACTCTGGAGTGTTGGGGGCGCGGCATCTCAACAAACTGCAAGGATGTACCACGCGAGAACGCGATTGCTTGATAACTTTGACGAAGTTCCGCTCTAAAGCGCGATGTTGAATATTCTGTGAGGAAGTATCAAACGGGAGCCGCTGCTGTTGCAAACAGGGGGCAAAAGCACGATCTGAGGCGAAGGACATTTCTTGGCAACAAAAAACAGGGTGCGAGTCCTGGGGGGGGAGCACTTCAAATAAATACGTAATGAACACCAGGGTGACCAACAACGAACGGGGGGGGGGGGGGGGGGGGGGGGGGGGGGGGGGGGGGGGGGGGGGGGGGGGGGGGGAGGGGTGGGGTTGGGTGGGGAGTGTTTTTTTTTTGGGGGTGGGGGCGTGGGAGGGGGGGGGGGGGGGGGGGGGGGGGGGGGGGGGGGGGGGGGGGGGGGGGGGGGGGGGGGGGGGGGGGGGGGCGAGAATGAAAGAACTCAATAAGAATGGCATGACTGTTTGTTTGTTTGGTCGCGTGCCACTCAACAGGTAAATCCCAAGCACTCGATACCTGCCCTCTTCGTCTTCGTATGAATAACAATGAAGGAAAAGAGGTGGTACTTGGAAGAACCGTTAGTTTCGCAGCGCAGACGTAGCAGTAGTAAGTGGCAGTAAGTACATTGGAAGAACTAATACGAACAACAAAAGTTTCACAACTAGCGACTAGCAGTGATACTTCGCAGCGCTAGCTGTAATACTTCGAGAGGGGGGGACGAGTCTAAAGCATCCTTTCCTTTTCTGCCCACCTTCCCCCCCCCGCCCTGTGCGCTTCGTAATGTGATCCTGAATGAGAAATTAATGTTCGTCGGTCGTCCAAGGGGGTAGCCCATCCCAGGGTACCACGGCCGCCCCGCACGGAGCGGTATCTTAGCGCCGGGGGGGCGCGGAAAATAAATAGCTCCCGCCATCCGACAAAGCGACATATGCGTTGCTTACTATCGGTCTTAGTAAGTACGGTAGCTTCAGCAATAAGACATACATGGAAATCACGTAAGTGATAATAATGGTAATATGAAATGAGAGTAATAGTAATAGCCGGCCTAATAGTAGCCGTAGTCGTAGTAGTGGTAGTAGCAGTAGCAGTAATAATAATCTTGATGTTAATCATAAGCGCATTCAGAGGCATGGCCGCAGTACTTAGAACGGCGCCTGAACTGACCGAGCTTGGTTGTACTGGAACAACTGATTAATCTCCCGACGAAGCGGGAGCGGTACTATGCAATACAAAACGTCGTGCTAGAAATGCAAAGTAGCAATACGAATACTTGTAGGAATCGTGGTAGTCATCGCCGTAGTATTCCTAGCAATACTTGATCCTTATAAGTGGTAGTGCTATGTAGCAAGGCCCTGGAGCTCAAGTGCGAGCACCAGTCACAGCAGTCGTAGTAGTGTCTGGCTGGAAGTAGTCGCCCTAGTGGCACAAATAAAGGCACAAGTAGTGGTACTACGACAGGCAACCACAGTAACATAATGTTTAGTGGTGGACATAGCAGTGCGAATAATAATAGAAAATGGTAGTAGTAGTAGTAGTAGCAGCAGCAGCAGCAGCAGTAGTAGTAGCAGGTCGTAGTAGCAGTAGTAGTAGTAGTAGTCCTAGTACTAGTACTAGTAGTAGTAGTACCAGTAGTACCAGCAGTACTAGTAGTACTAGTAGTAGTCGTAGTAGTCGTAGTAGTAGTAGCAGTAGTAGTAGTAGTGGCAGTATAAGTAGCAGTAGAAGTAATAGCAGCAGCAGCAGTAGCAGCAACAATAGTAGCGGTTGAAGTGGTGGTAAGTAGAAGTAGTGATCAATGTTGCCATGCCGTCGTGATAGTACTATCGGCAACTAAGAGCTAGTACTAACATATATATGTGTGTGTAGTGATATGGTGATGATAAATAGTTAGTAGTAGTTAGTAGTAGTTAGTAGTAGTAGTAGTAGTAGTAATAATAATAATAATAGTAGTAGTAGCAGTAGTAGTAGTAGCAGCAGTAGTAGTAGTAGCAATAGTAGTAGGGGTGGTCATAACTAGCTAGGACGAAAAATATTACCAGTATTGAAATCTGTATTTCGTAACACTAGTTGCAGCTCATGGACCGAAGCTTGAATCCGAAGTTTCCTTTTCTCTCCCTCTCTCCCTCTCTCTATCCCTCTCTCTATCCCTCTCTCTCTCTCTCTTTATCTCCCTCTCTCTCTCTCTCTCTCCTCTCTCGCTCTCCGGACCGCCCCCGCCCTGTACGATTCTTATTGCCATCCCCAACGAAGGATTGCTGTTCGTCTGCCGTCTTAGGGATTGGCCCATCCCTAGGTACTGCGCCCGCCTCGCACGGAGCTTTACCTCATCACCTGGAAGCGGGGAAAACGATTTGCTCCCGCCACCCAACGAAGCGATGGAACTAAATTCTCAATATTATTCGTGGTGAAAATAATGGTGGCGGCAATACGAATACTCGAGATACTCATACTACGATGTTGCGATTCAAATGACAGCTTTGGGCACACTCGGAAAGATAACATTGATAATCGTAATAGTGTTACTCTTTTTTTTACGGCTCGCGACTTGGAGTGATACTTCGTAACACTAGTTGCAATACTTCTTGAAGGGGACCAAATCCAAAGTTTCCTTTCTCGTTCTGCCCACCGCCCCCGCCCTAGGATGAGAAAATGATGCTCGTCGGCCGTCCTACGGGGTGGTCCATCCCATGGTCTCGCGCCCGCCCCGCACAAAGCGTTCTTAGCACCTCGGAGCGCGGAAAAAAATAATGCCCGCACGCGTCGTGACGATAGACGTACTTCGCAATAGTAATCGTAGTAGTAATAACAGTTTGAGCTCGCACCAGTAGCTATTTGATTCAGATTAGTAGTGGCCATACTAAAACAAGTTGGTAGATCACAGTAGTTGTATTAACTCTAGCGGTAGTGCTCGTAGTACTAGTAGGTGCAGTTACGCTTACACATCGCACGAATTCTTAGTAAGATGCTTCAGCCAAATGACTAGGAGTAGCAATCATGCTAAGAAATTAATCGTACTGGCAATAGCGGTAGCGAGAACAAGAGGAAACCGAACTGGTCGTAGCGTGAACTACGACGTAATTAGTTGTGATATAAGAATAATGTTTGTGTTGTTTTGTGTACGTCTGTGGGTATGCATCCGTCACAGCAGCCTTGTTCGTGGAGGTGGTTGCCAATCGTGAAAGAGACGTATCGCCAAACGACCCCACTAAAGCAGCTCCCCAGGCTGGGCGCGCCGACATCTTGTTCGAGATTGGCAACCAGGGGCGAGTCGCACGGAAGGTTGTGTACAAGCACGGAGAGACAGACGCTGCATCCGGATCGGTGCCGGAAGGACAGCGCCTCTGCCGGATCGAGCCGGGTTGGTACCGGCAGCAGTGCTCCGTGGCATCGGAACAAAAACAGGCGCGACGACGAGCCGAGCAGCACCAGGACGCTAAGCTACCATGTCTGCCGGGAGTGCGGTCTCCCCGGGCACTGGGACATTGCGTCTGGACGAAACGCTCCCTGACCAATCTGGCGCGGAACGCGCTGCCTAGGAAGCGCCAGCGCACGCAGACTGACAATGAGGAACAGCGATGAATGTCAACAAGACGTCTTCGAAGGAGAACGTACCAGAGCATCTCCCCCTGAGCGTGCGTGCAGGTAGCAGTAGCAACGGAGACAGCAAGCAGGGCCGCTGCCATTTAGACTCGGGCCAGCGCAGAGCTAGCCTGTTGCATCGGACTGGAACACATTCGGTCGATCATCTACTTGTCAGCGGCCCGATAGGCACGCCCTAATACGACACCTCTGTCGAGTCGTCGAGGATCCTCACGAGCTTGCTCAGCATCGTCATCACCATCCTGTTCTGTTGCAGCACGATGTGTAGATCGGCACTCCGGGCCTCCCCTCGAAGCCTCTCCATCCCTGTCACGAACTGGACAATGTCGACAGACCCGCTACCTTGTAGATCCAACAAAACAAAAAACTGTTTTGCGTCTTCGATGTCGACGCGCAGCGCGGAAAAGTAGTCGATGATCTCCTCTTGTTTCAAGCTCTCTTCGAACTCTTCGAAGGTGACAATGTTGTCGCGATTGCTGTCCATGACCTTCAACAAATCCAGAAGCTGAGTTTCCTTCGCTCGATCATCGAGCCGCTGCTTCTGCACCGCCACCATCCGATCGTTCTTGGCGAGCTCAATAGCGCTGTCGACGAAGAGGCCATTCACTACATTCACCACCTTCGCACGCGGCCGAACACCAATCACAACGATTAGCGTGATTACGTGTAAAATCCATTACTCTGGCCGAACACTAACCCACTGCCCCGGATTGTCGTTACCCCCCCTTCCCACCTGAGTGATTATGATCCTGGGCGAATTCAGTTTTGGTCGCGGAAGAGAGGCGGCAAGGCCGAACTTGTTCATCGCGGGGAGAAGTTGCGAATCGAAGCTGCTCTCCATATTTTGAATAACAAGGACTCCTCAATATTCCGATTGATTTTCTCCGCAATCCTATGGATGTCCGAGGGAAAGTCCGGGATGTCCGGTGGATTCCTCTGGATTTCCAAAAAGAAATCCTACGGATGTCCTCAGGAATCCGATGGGTCTTCTATGGAGTCCTAAAGCAATCCTATGGAATTCATAGCGAATCTTTTGCATTTCCTACGCAATCTTCCAGACTTCCTATGGAATTATATAGATTGGTTTCGGAGATCCATCGGATTCTACGGAAATATATAGGAATCCCCCTATGAGTCCTTGAGAAATCTACATGAATCATTTGGAAATCCAGAAGGGTACGTTGGAAATCCCTTGGCTTCCTCGGAAATCCATACGATCTATGAGGAAATCTATTGGAATCCTTTGGACAGCCATCGGTTGCCTGAGGAAAACCCTTCGGATTCTGGAGGGAGTCCAAACGATCCCTTAGGAAATCCATTGGGTTCCTAAGAACATCCATCGGATGTCTTAGGACAACCATGAGGTTCCTGAGGACATCCATATGAATCCTGAGGAAATACTGAAGATTCCATTTGGGAAATCCATAGGACTCCTGTGGAAGCCCACAGGATTCTGGATGAAATCCATAGGATCCATACTAATGAAATCCACACGGTCCCTTAGGACATCCATCATAATCCTTAGGAAATGCATAAAAATCCAGAAAGGAAACCCATAGGATTCGTTTAGAAATCCATAGGAATCAAACATCCATCGGATTCCCTTAGGATATCCATAAGAATCCTTAGGACATCCACAAGATGCCTTAGGAAGCCCATCGGAATTAGTATGACATCCGTAGGATTCCTCAGGAAACCCATATGATTCCGCTGGAAATCCATATGATTCCTTAGGAAATTCATTGGAATCCAAGAAATCCATAGGATTCCTGAGGACGATGCGCCAAAAGGGGCGGCGGTACCATGAGGACCCTGCCACTGGGACCTTCGGTGGAGCTCCCTCTGGAGCCACGAACCGTGTGAGGGGTGTGCCGACATGGACATGCGGAGAACAGATGTAGTGATGGGAGGAGAGGCACGGATGGGAGATGAGGGGGGAGGGGGCAGCGGGAGGAGTGAACGCGGGGACCCTCTCGTCAAAACGAAGACCCAACACCACAGGACGGTTGGGAAAAAAAACAGAGATTATCCGAACAAGCGATCAACGAACGCTTGTGACGAAAACAGCCCAACAAGTGATTAGAACATGCTAAATTCACCACCGAGAAAAGGGTGAAGAACATGAACACAACCAAGACAGTCTGCATGACCCAGCCAGGCCCGCTCATCAAGTTTGAGGCCACGCCCCAGTTGATGCCTCCAGACATGCATTGGAACAGAGTGTACATGGTCTGGAACAGTGAACCGAACAGGAGGCTTACATCCTCATGATCGGTAGGCACTTGATTGTCAAGGGAATGCAGGTAGTCCGTGGCGCCCTGCGTCAGTATTATGGAGAAGGCGTAGATCATGCCAAGCAATATTACCAACAACCAGAATAGCGACTGCAGCGTTCCCATAATCATGAGCAGCAGCACCCGAAGCTGTGAGATAAACCTCACTGTGCGAATGACGCGTATGATGCGGAACATCCGGACGAGCCTCCCAATCTTTGAGAAGAGTGCACCGGACTCTGCATTGCTGTGGTTGAGCAGCAAGTCGACCCAGGCGGCAACTATCAGGATCAAGTCGAACACATTCCACCAACGCTCGTCGCTATCGGTGAGGAACCTGGAGCGGTAAACAAAAAGCCGCATGATGATTTCCACTGTGAAGACCATCGTGAACACTATTTCTATATCGTCGAACCACTCGGGAGTTGTGTTCGAGGTGGCCCGTAGCTGCACTTCCACCCCAATCACCAACGAGTTGAGAACGATTGCGAGGGTGACCATGCAGTCAAACCAGCGAGACTTCACATGCTTGCCCAACTCAGAGTCGAACTCCTCGGACTTCATGCGCTTCATGAGCTCCTGTTCCCTCGAAACCTTGGTCAGCCTCCTCGACACCTTCCTGAACAGGCTCCCGTTACTGCTCCAGCTTTCCGTCCCGTCCTGTTTACTCCCTCGCTTTCTGTCGTGCGTGATTTGATCTTCGTCGAAGGAGCAGTCCTCGCAAGGGCTGCTTGGTGAAGGGGGCTCGTGGCCTTGACTCCGCGGCGTGCCCACTCGGGCCGCCTCCTTCTCGCAGCTCCTGCCGCTGGCATCTGGTGGCTGGGTACCACGCTGACCTAGAAGCCTCCCAGATGGAGTCCGAGTAGGCGGGGTCGGAGCATCGCGCCGCATCACCGATGCATCGGCGACGTCGGCGATGCACCGGCGCCGCTGGCGAAGAAAACCAGGATTCACCTCGAGTCGCATCGCCGATGCATCGGCGATGAGGCACGACCCTCCGACCCCATCCACTTTGGTCCGATCTGGGAAGCCTGGATGACCGCCACGGCTGCGCGGCGAATCCTGTGGCACTGCCGCGGCCACGGGGCCCGACGGCGTCATGTCGAACAAGCTCGAGGACCCGCGCTCGAGAGTGCCCGACCGCTCCTTGTCGAACAAGCTCGAGGACCCGCGCTCGAAGTTGGCCCCTCGAGCCTGCTCGAGCAACAAAAACGACCGACACAACCCGTCGGAACTCCGCGCGACTTTCTTGGATCTGCGCTGGAACTCCCTGGCGGCGCCTCTGGCGCCGCTCCTGGCGCGGTCCGCGCGCCAAAGAAGGAGGGCCCATCGCCGATCCGAGAAATCCGCGCGGACCTCCCAAAGATCATGTTCACAGTCCCCCCTCCGAGAGCCAGCCCCCCAGCCAGTGGGGCCAGGCCCTCCACGGGTTTCGCGATCCGCTGCCAGTCGAGCGCCGTGGCGACGCCGTCCAGCTTGGACTCCACCCGCTTCATCCACTCGGCGAGCTCGCTTTGCACGTCTGGACCCATGCCTACGCCGACAGCCTTCCGAAAAGGGTGGCGAAAGATGGGAGAGACGCCTAAGGCCGCAGAGGCCGAGAAATCTGGGTCCCTCTGAGCCGATATGGATGCGGCGGCTTCGTGTCGTGAGGACCCTGGCGTTGTTGTGTTGTTGTTCATGCATAAAACAGCGTGGATGGTTCAAGCTTCAACGATCGGCGACTTTCCGACCGCCAGATCGTTCCACATTCACCGACGGCGCTACTGCGGCATGCAACCTTGAACGCCCGCGCCAGCGTCGCAGCGGCGTCGACACGACACGAACCTAACGCATGGAGGTTAGGGCAAGTTTTGAAAACGCACACGAGCGGCCCGCAAAAACAATAAAAAAAAATATGCAAAAGACGACACGCCACGCGCAACGTGCAGCGAGTTCCGGGAACCCTAAATCAGAAAAAAAAGCATATGTTGGAGGACCGAGTTCTCGTCACGGCTACATGGTCAAGTGGTTTTGGTTTTAACTCAACACCCGGGGGAAAAACGGGCGTGGATTACTTGCGTGGCCACTGTGTCCCTGCACTTCGCGCCTACAGGTTTCCCGGCGCGCTGAATGGACGACCCAGGCCATTCGTCGCGCCTGCCGCTCGCGCGCGACTGCCGGCGCTGGCGCGAGCAGGCTGTTCCCTCGCCTCGCTCGCGGGGCGGTGCGCGAGCGATTCTCGCGTAAACCCGCGGGAGTGGCGAAAAACGCGACGCTTGATGGCGCGCCCCGGCGCCAATAATAGCAGCATGAATGGAACGCTCTCGCGGTCAACGGGCGATATATGTGCACGTTGAGAATGAAGGACGGCGCGTTGTGTGGGACGCACAGGGACACACTTATACGATACGTTTTCCTTGGGAGCGCGCGTCCGACCCGAACATATAGTACACCCATGTTGTAGTCGTCTCCCGAGCGGTGTGGCCAGAAACCGCCCGCCACGACGCATATACTAGAAGATGTCTCGGTATGCGCGTCGCCCCTGGGGGGGCGACGCACAAATAGTATGAGTATGTTGGGGTGACGCCGATTGTGGGAAATCGCCAGATCAGAAACCGCAGCGCAGGCGCCGCAATGATGGCGGGTTGTTGCTGGGCGCGCGGCGGGGCAATGCGGCTGCGTTCGCGGCACGGCGCGAATCGATGCCGCCCGAAAGAAAATTGTTCGCCGGCGGTGCCATGAAAAGCACCGCCACTCATTGAAGGCAGCCCGCGGCCGCCAGGATTGCGAATATTGGCGTTGAGCTAACGCTGGCAGGAAAGGGGAAGGGAGGGAGGGAAAGGGAGGGAAGGCGAATTGACAGGAGAAGGGAGAACGGGAAAGGGAGGGTAATCCAATGGCCCATACAAGGGCGGCGAGGCGACGATGCAAAGCAGTGCCCTGGCACTGCTTTGAACATTGTCGAGCAGTTTCAAAGCAGTGCCCTGGCACTGCTTTGAACGTTTTCACAGGGAGGGTCACATGCGACATCGCCAAACGATTACGACGGTGATGTTGATAAGTATCAAGATGAGGAAGATGATGGCGATGATGATGATGATGATGATGATATTTCCAGCGTGCGCTGTCCGCAAGTGCGGCTGCCAACACCATGCTGCACTGGCCCGCAACAGCGGCCATCACCAACGCTGCCGCTCGTTGCTCCACGGGGCGCGCTCGGCCGACCGCACGTAGGAGCACGCGCTGCGCGTGGAGCCCCACTCGCCCCACTCAGCATTGTTCGCAACTGCGGCGCTGCGCGCGGAGCCCAACTCGGCCCGCCCGCCCCACTGAGGAGGCGAGCCCGCGGCGGCATTGTCCGCACCTGCGGCGCAATCAGAATGCTGCCCGCCATCAGCGCCCCCCCCCCGTCGACCGCGACTCGGACCTGTCCTGCCACCCCGTCGCGGGATCCACTTTGACCGAGCGCCGCCCCCACTCGGACCGCGCGCCGCCGCCGCCGGCGCCGCCGGACCCAGCCGCCACTGCGGCGCAAGAAGTCTTAGCCGCAACTGCGATTCCCATCTGGGTCTGGGCGCCCTTCCCCGCAACTGTGGCGCCCGCGTCGCCGCCCATCTTGCCGCCCTTCCTGCCGCCTCTCTTGCCCTGCCTTGATTTCCTTCGCTCCTCCTTCTCAAACCTCTCGGTGGTTCTTCGAGGTGACCCGCGGCCCGCGTCGCGCGCGGAAGCCACCGGGGGGGCGCGCGCTCCGTTTCGCGCCTTGCCGAAGGCGCCTTGCCCGATCTCGTCGTCGAGATTGCCGCGCTTGACTTCGAAGGGACGAGGCGCCCACTCGCCTTTCGCGCCGCGCGCCATCCTTCGATGGAAGTCCGCAAATGCGGCCGCGGACTCGTCGGATGGCGTTAGGGAGGCGCGCATCATGTCTTCGACGTGCTCAGCCTTGGGCACGTAAGTCTGCGGCGGCTTCCTGAGGCCATTCGTGCACACGCAGACGCGGAAAGGATCCTGCTGGGTCGACAAGGACCCACCCCCGTGGTCGCGGAGGACGCCCCGGCCATGGTGAAGCCTGTAGTCCCCAGGACAGTTCTTGAACAGAATCGCCATGCTGTCTGCCCTGGGCTGGCCCCCTGCTGTCTTCCAGGGGGCCCACGCGGCGACGCCCGCGCTGCTTCTGCAACTGCGGCGCCGGGACACAAGCTGGAACATGCACGCGTTGAGTTGGCCGTCATTTGGGGGGCATCTTCTATAGGGAGGTACACGCACAACGCTGGCATAGACTTTAAAGCGACTAAAGATATTTCGGCGCTGGAGCCGAGTGGAGGGGGAACCGATAGAAATGCGCCCTCGGCGGGGCATGGATGGGGGCTACAGCGAGAGGAGCAATGCTGGCAAGGAGAAGGGCGAAGGGGGTGAGGAAGGCGACCCACGCTGATACCACCGATGCCAAAACGCCGCGCTCGCTGTTCTGTTTTCCCCTCGCCACCCCCGCCCTCCCCCCGCATCAACCTGCATCCTTCTTTCGGTTCCCCAATTTCACATTGACCCATCCCCCCCCCCGCCCTCCCCCGGCCCCCTTTTTCGCCCCCCCTGGCCGCCTTCCACGTTCAATGCGCCCCCCCTCCTTCGCCTACCCCTTCACACCCCGCTCTCCCGCCCCCCTCCCTCCCACCCCCCCCTCCCGAATAAACATTTCCTCCTCCTCCTCTGCCCCCTCCCCTCGCGGCGCCCCCCCCCCCCCCGCACCCCTACGCCGCCGCCACGTTTCATTCCGCCCTCCACGTTCCACAATCCAGTTTCGTTCACCCCCTGCCTTCTCCTACCTCGCCCCCATCCCCACGCCATGCGCCCATTGTGGCAATTTCCAATGTTCCACATTGCCTCCTGGAACCCTTGCTTCCCCCCCGCACATCTCATTCCCCCCGCCTTCCGTCCTTCGTGATTTGCCAACATCCCTGTCGCACTTCCATGTGATCACTCCCCTATCACGAATTTCTTCGGCGCGCCCCGCTCCCCCCCGGCGCCACCGGCGACCGCCTGCCCAACGGGTCAGTCTGAAGCAGGGCCAAAACCACATTTCAAGCCAACCACTCGCTTCTAGACAAGATCGACGAAACAGCGCCACACTTACGTCTACGCGCAAGGCCGCAACCACAAGTCGACACAGACACCTGTCTATAGACATAAGCGAAAACCAGACAACCAGACGCACCCCATCTAATGTCTACACCGACAATCGTAAACACAAGAGAACAGGTAATGTCTATCACCCCGAGACGCGTAGACATAAGGCACGACTTAACGTCGAAGAGAAACAATCTCGGTCGACATAGCGCCAATTCTAATGTCAACCGGAAACGACATATACATTAGTTCCCGGCACCCCGCAAACCGCAAATGCCGTTGACATAGCGAGGCCCGTGTCGTCACGGCCACAATGTCTACCATTGTTGCGCGTTTCGAGATCGATTGGTATCACCATATTACCCTCCACAAATGCAAAATCGTCAGCAGTCGGCTCCCTCGTCGCGATTCGTGCGAACGGTGCGCCGAAATGGGCGCACAGACGAATAGCGGACCCCTCCGATGGGGCTGTAGATGGACCTTTCCAAAGGGCGCGGTGCACGTCGCTAACGCGCCGCAATGGGCGCAGCGCCGCCGTGCGAATTCCTCCTCGCGGCCCATCGGTGGAGCGCCTAGTCGGGCGCGATACGCATCACGGGCGCGACAACACGGGCGCGCATCCAGCGCGCGAGTTCTTCCGAAGGGGCAAGGGGCGCCCACGCTGGGGCATTGTCCGCGGGGCGGGCGCGCCGAAAGCAACACGCTGGCGTCGAGCGACCCACAGGGGCCACGCTGGGAGCTCCTCATGGGCGCGCGATCCGCGCAAGGAGGCGCCGAAATGGGAGCGGCGGCAGCAATGGCGGAAGGAGATATGGGGGGGCGACAGGACTAGGACGGACCGCGCGGCGCAGCGGAGAGAACACGAGAATCCAACACGCGAGAAAATGAAAGTAGCACGGGCGGCAATACGGCGAGGAAGCGGGACGCAGGGCAAGAGAGGCGGACACGCGAGGAACAGCGGAGAGGAAGCCCCACCTCACAAAAAAGAAGGGTTACACATAACGCATAACAGTGCCCCAACACTGAAGGAAATTCCCAAACCGCCCGCTTTAAGGTCGCACGGGCAGCAGACCCGCACTCTCGCGGCGTCAGCGCAGCACCGCAGCTTCTCAGCCCCAGACGACATGGATATTATCAACGGCGCCTTGCGTCTACACTGGCGTCTGGCTCTATAGAAATAACCTTGAGCAACGCCCAGCTGACTGCCAAATGTTGAGGTCTCCCACGCAGTCCTTCACGCCCCACTCCTGGACGTAGGCGACGAACCAATGGTAGAAATCATGGGGCTTCTTGACGCCCCAATCTTGGCTGGCCAAGTCGCGGTGGACTCGCGCCGCCATCACGTGGAAGCCGCCCCCCAGATGGGCCACGGCCTGGCCCAGGTCGACGCGCGCCACCATCGCCTTGGAGTACTTGTCGCGCCACTTTCGCGCAGGAACCTCCGCAACTGCGGATCGCATCTCCTTCTTCGGCTGGGACTTCCCCCGCTCGCGCAAGCGCCCCCCGAAGTCGACGGCTCT